CATTCACACATTCACATTCATCCTTCAGTAATCAGCAGATTATTTTATCTTGTCTCTCAGCTGGTCTACGGTGCGATGTCAGTAGTGGTGGGTGTTACCAAATGCGTTCTGTTAGCAACGCCATCGGTGGCATGTACCATTCCTCCCACAATGTACACGCAATGTGTACAATGCCGCTAAGCGGCCAACCATAAGCTATGTATTCTGCTAAGCCGCTATAGGCTTATCAGTTTTGTAGCCACTTATCATACTGGCCCTTACCCTTAGGCAATGGTGGCACCCATCGATGCTCAAAGTTCACGTTGCTGACATAGCGTTATTCGACCGTCTGACTGTGTTCCAGCCGCCTGACTGTGTTCCGTAGATGACTCATCATTCACTGTCCATAGCACCGTCAACGCTCATGTAACTTACAGTCCTCATCGATTCATTAAAATGCTCCTCATCGCTATAATGTTGAAATCTTAGCTTGGCCGAAACATAGCCAGTCTGTGACCCTCCGCCTCCAGCATACTGTCTCCCTCAGCCGCCGCGCCGGCCGCGAATAGACGCGGCGCGGCATCGCTTACGGCTAAGCAAAGGCTACTTCGTTGTAATCTCATTATTATTGTTAATATTGTGTTAATGGTATAATAATGTTTGAATGCCATTGCCTCATTGTTAGCTTCACTTCACTACAGGCCTTAGCACCTCAGAGCTCTAACTTGTCTCATTCCTCTACCATTACTTCTCTATCGTTACTATCATGTTATTAGTTATTTATGTATTAAAGGTTTAATTACCCAAGTTTGAGGCTGGTAGATCAACTACAACAACTAAAAGACCCGCGTGGCTAATATTCTACATCAATCTGAACCGCTACACTTCGCCACTAACCGTTTCGTTACAACAAGTGATTTTTTTCATTGTAGTCCATAGTCTATTTCATCCACATCTACTGGTCAACCATCCATTCGCGAGAATCACCGCTGTACTACAAGAAAGTCTAGTCGTAAGTTAGCAATCATCCTCCCATCCATAGGGAACGGCCGACCACTGCGAATTGTGAAGATTTCAGAACGCTCCATTACAGTGAACTTAGAATTCTGACCTAGATCTATTCCACCAGCATTAAATTGCTAGTGAGTAAAGAATACTGCAAATCTTCTAGTCGCATCCAAACCTACACGTGAAGCCCATTTACACCGTAGATAACGGCCACATAACTAGGAAACGAATGAAGGAGGCTGTATGCTGAATACTATAGGATGTCTGAAGGTGAGCCATCTAAGTATGCACTATTTTTGTAGTTTAACATACTCCAAAGTGTAAAATAATAAAATAAGGCTTAATAGTATGCCTCTATATTCTACTTGGGATATAATTCTGCATATACTAACTTATTGCGCCCCATATTTAAACTGCACCATTTTAAGCTTACTGGGTTTCAGAGTTTTTTTTACCCCACTGTTCATATTATATATAGAACGGCGCGTGTGGCGCAGTGATCGGAGGCGCCCTGCAACACACAAGTGGAATCGATGCGCTCTCGCGGCCCAGCAAGCCGTCCATCTCTCCGGGGTCGGCAAATTGGTACCAGATTTGTCTGAGAGGATAGCAGCACTGGCTCGATACATCGGTAGGCTATTATTGTAAAGGCCAGATATGCATTCAGTCACCTCCAAACGATGCTTAATGAAGTCGAATGCATGGCGCATCCCTTAGAGATTGATCAAGGTCGAGAGCTTTATCATTTATTATCATTTATTCATATTAATTCGGTATCTAGTCGAAAAAAAGACCAATATGAGAGAGATGAGGCCAAAAAACGATTTTCTACACTTAATGATCTACACAAGCCCGTTTTCGAAAAAGTTCTTTGACTCGTGATTTGGTTAACAGTTAATTTCTTCTTCATTTTAATCACTAAGGTCATTTGTATCAAATAGGAAAATTTTTAAAAAAGTGGAATAAGTGAGCTTCAAATAAACTGAAAATTACATCCAAGCCCGACAGTAATGGATTTTCAAGGTGGACCAAGGTAACATATACTAAAAAGTGGCATACACATCATTCACACTCGTAGAAAGATAATCAAAGCGTCTTCCAGAATCTTGTCATATTTAAAGCCCCCTAAGCCCTCTAGTTATCGAAAAGTTATTTTTCGCTGTCAAAACCAAAAATTCTGCAACCAACAAAATGCTTCTACACGATTGAGCTAGCCACGAAAAACAGCGTCGTTGCAGAATGGATTACAAAGAAGGAAACAGATCACCGGCCTACCTCACATATTGCTTAATGCGTATGTGAACTAGTCCAGTGATTCAAGAGAATTTATGGGTACTATAATTTATTTGTATTATTTTCATGGTCGCTTCGTAACGCATTTCAGCTGAAGACCAGAAAACGTATACAGCTATGAGCAAAAGAGGAAAGTTAGCAACATAGCTTTGCACAACTCCATTTGGTAGAACCGCTGGACAAGATAAAGTGCGATAAATAAATGGCGCAAAAACGTCAGCTGTTCTAATCGGTAAGTGAAAACGAAAGGTAAACTGTTACCAGCATAGAAGTGTTGACAGAGCAAAACTTGTTGCGAACTTTTGGACTTGCTGCCACCAGGATCAAGCAATCGAATGCAGAAGCCACAGTGATGAAAACACTCAGAGTCTGGGCTGTCAGGCCTGTGTATACAAACATTTTTAATTCATAATCCACAAAATTCTCGTTGGTTTAGTTAAGAGTTATCTTTATTAAAGTTGGATTTCACATAAACAGTGGTAATTTTCATGAAAAGGTGCAATTTAAGAATTAATGCTTAAAGCTCACTGAGCAACAGGAACTATTATAGATTGTTGGTGCTGAATGTCTTCTCAATGCACAGACGTGTATTCACTATTTTATCTCTGTGCTCGATAGAATGATAAGATTTAAGTAGGTGGTTAAATTTGAAGCTTTACAACGTTAAATTCTCAGCAGCATAACCTCTGAAATTACATTATTCAAAATAAGCCACGTGGAAAACTTTTCAACGGATTGCCATTCTCACAACGCAAAAATGAAAAAGAGGGGGTGGATAGCACAGCGGCGGTGTTGCAATCAACGCGAGCACAGAGTTGGTCCAATTCTGTGCCGAACCCACTAAGCTTCTCACTTTCGCTGAGTGGGGAAATTGGTACCAGACCTGCCTATGAAAATAATCATATTCCACTATCCAACTGGGAACACTTTTTCCGGGATATCTGAGGACTCCAGGGAGATTTGATTCGACGGGCATACAACAAGATTCGAGATGAAAGGAAAATGCTCAAACAACACCTGAAACCACACGTAAAAAGTTGGAGGCCCTCCGTGGATGACGGAAGCTTGAAACAAACTGAATATGAGAAGTACTGAAATTTGCAAAGCAGATGTGAAGGATGGATCGTATAAAATGAAAAGCACACCAATAATGGTGATACTCATGACGGTAATTCCATCTCCATCTAATCTTGGAAGAACAATAAGTCATGACAGAACGATACTTACTTGTTTGGTACTTAAACGGCCCGTCCTCATTGGTTGTGCGGGCTCCAACACAATCTCCATTTCTCAGAGATTTGCTGGTTAAGGAATTGTGATTCCCTGGAATTTCGAGGTCAGCCTGGGCAAAGTCTGTCCCAGGTCTTCACCACCGCATGCAGTCGCAGCCCTCGTGGATCAAAGGGAGATTTGCCAGCATGCGATTTTGATACCAAGACGGTAGTGGGTCCCGGTATTGGTTCATTCCTAGCCAGGCTTTCTGATGGACTCCTTGGACTTTCTGATGGACCCTGGACTCCTTCTCAGCTTGGGAGACCCTGCCAACGGGATGAATCCTCCGCTGTACATCGCAGCTCGACACTCAGGAACACGTTCCAGCCACGGTGAGGCGGTAAGCCGTTGGGAGAGACAGAACAATATGTTAGAATAAAATAATCACGAAAACTAGAAACTTCGTAGAGCAGGTGTTATAGGACTGGCTTTTTAGTGTGCTCCGAAATCTCTTTTCTCTCCTATTATTCACAAAATGAATGCAGTACTTACTAACTAACTTCAGCACGACGCGGCATCAAAGTGTGCCGTGGAATAATTTTGTTATAAAAAAAAGTTTCCACGGAAATATTTTTAAACGATAGTCATTATAATCCAGACTGCTGCTAGCTACTTAGTCTCATTGTTGGTGAAGCCGAAACGCCTATATTGAGTTTTTGAACATTACTCTAACACGATTCTTTGCATTACGGGCGATAGAGGAAGGGCAGTAGAACATAGCACACCCAGGTTACTTTAAAAACAAGCAGATTTTTTAAATGATGATGTAAAGAATCTTCCAGATGGTTTACTGCAGGCCCAATTTGTGCAAGTGTATAGATGGCATTGTACTAACTTTCACACATGCTAAAGTGACATCCTTTAGAGTTTAGTAAAGGCGAGTTCTTATATCTCCGTCATGATACTCTTTCATAATGTCAGATGATGAGACTTGTTTTCATTTCTAAACGAATTGTGATATAAAATGTTTTAACAGTTTGGAAAACGCTCCAAGTAATCTTTAAAACTTGAAAGGAAGTATTCTTTAAAACTAAATTTTTATCTTCATTTTACTGGCACTCGAAAAAGTAAGTAATCATATTGTTGACTTTTTATTTACTGTCTACAACCCTCACAGTAGGGTATTATGTAAAATTTAACTTCATTAATGCTAAGATATTTGCTAGAAACCGCAGGTGTCTGCCACGCTGTTACCCTTTCAGGGGTTTAACGCGTTCACCACCACATCATGCGGGATCTTCGTTTCGTCTTTCTCTCAGCTAGTTTTCTAGCAGTCTTTCTATCTCAGCATCATTGTGTTTGAATTTCACATGAAACTCTGTCGTGGAAATTTGTGGTAGGCGGTAAATAAAAAGTTAACTTCTGTAATGCCGAGATATTTGCAAAACACCGGACAGCAGGTGTCTGCGGTGGAGAACGAACGCGCTACTCTCCTTTTCGGGGGATAACGTGTTCACTTCCACACCATGAGAGTTCTTCGTTTCGCCTGTCTCTCAGCTAGTTCTATGGATCACTGCCATCAGCAATCACCTGTCAACGGGATTGATATGGGAAGCCCAAAACGGCATTGAGCCCAGTTTTGCTGAGGCTGTAGTTATAATCGCAATGTTAACATTTTTACTTACTGCCTATTCTTTTCAACGGCAGGGTATGTTGCAGATGTAAAAAGTTAACATTGTGATCTTGACTTTAGCCTCACTTAACCGGGTTCACTGCCAATTTGTGTTTCCCAGATCAATCGCGTTAAAGTGTGATTGTTGATGCCACCTATAAGTCAATAACACGGCTGAGAGAAAAGGCCAAACGAAGGACTCGCATGGTGTGGTGGTGATCGCGTTAGCCACAGGAAAGGGCAATAGCGCGCACGAACTCAATTACAGACACCTGCGGTACGGAGTTTTGCAAATATCCCAGTGTTATTGTGGCTAACTAGGCAAAGCTTTCCCTTATACACGAAACATAAAGTAATTCCATCGCTGGTTTCCTAAAAAACAGTGTTTCGTTGTTTAGCCAAATTGAGCATAAATTCACATTATGGTACGAAAAACTAACTGTTGACAAGTCTCATGACTTGAAAACAAAAGCAGTTAATGGACTTTTAGCCAACCACATTCTTTAAGCTTGCTTACAACGGGAAAGTGAAATTTCGAGCGACGTGACATAACGACCAATTTTTCGTCGTGGGTCATATGTATTGAACCCAATGAGTATGGTCCGTTCTGTCCTCCGTTGCATCTTTCCCAAGAAAGTTAACAATTATCAAACGTGCTCCTTATTGTTACGGTCATTGTGTTACTCGGTCGGTAGGGAAAGCAAGCAGTTACTGCGGGTCTCATGCAATTATTTCATTCATTTGACCAGCAGGAGACATTTTAGTGCCATTTTCACATGCGGCATTGTAAATCGGAGATGTCTTTGGTGTAGAATACTGGTGCTATCCAACCACAAGTTAAATGAATGGGAGGAAACAGATTTGAAACCAATTCATGCGATATGCCTTTGCAAGCCCATGTTCTAATCAGCAAATGTGGACGCGAATGTGTTAAGCAGTCAAGAAATGTGGAGCACTTATCAATCAAAGAGGAGCAGTGTGTTTCTACCGTTTCTCTTGGGTATTCAGGAATGAGATTAGAAAGGCTCAATCGCGTAAATTTCGTTTCCACCAACACTGTAGACGACCAAAACTCGAGCACTTTTCGCAGTTTGTGTCGAGGTATAATAATAAGGGAAGAACCGTCTAGGAATTGCAAAATCTTTCTTTTCTTCACCAAGATATTACTATTACGCCCATTTCACCATTGGTTTCACTGCAGTCTCAGCTCGAGAGTCAGTTCGGATTCCCACAGTCTTTTAGTTTTGGGGTAATTTTCTGCTTCCATTCGAGTATAAATTTGCTTTTGCGCTATTTCCTTCTGCTAATAATTTAATGCACAGATTCTTTGATGAATTCTACAACTTAGGAAAATTAAATATACACGATTGCTAGATGGACGTTACTACAATGATGTTAATATGTTTGAGTCTGCATACGGGTCATGTAAAGATAAAAACAAAAAGAGTTTGATTTCGAGTAAAAAATTTGTCTTCCGCTATCGTTTAAGTCGTTTAGATGAAACACAATAACAGTTTTCCTTCTATTCATTTTTTCTTTGATTCATTTTTAGAAAACCTTAACGACTTATGCTTCAGACGAGTAAGTTGCCAATGTTACCGTAACTCTTTAACGAAAAAGTGCTAATGGTTAGTGCTTTTTTTCGTTAAATCTTCCACAAATCGTTTTTTGAAGCAACAGTATGATATTCCTTATCGGGTGAAACAACCTCACTCAACAATAAGCCTTAACCAACGCCTACTCCGTCTTGGACGTAGAATATATAACGCTATTTTTCTAAGAAAACTAAAAGATCTTCGTAGTAAGAACTCGTAAGATTGTTATACCGATGGAAATGAAAAACCAAACATATCCCTTACCTAAGGGAAACATAATTGGTGACAACACAGCAAAGTAGTACGTGATGGATTCGGATCGCCTTCTCATACTTTCCAAGAAGAACAAAAAGAATGCAGTAAGATTTATAATAATATCGGAACAGGCCAGAGCACACAAATACCTGTGTGGATATAACTATAAAGAAAGAAGAAATCACGTGAGAAATTCCAGAAATTTAATGGTATGTGACACAATTCGCCAGGCAGTAGTTAGAAAACCCATGTGTTTAAAAAATAATTTGGGGTAATTTTCTGCTTTCATTCGAGTATGAATTCATCTAAAAAGAGAATGAAAAACTTCAATTACAGAACAGTGCCAAAGCAGCGTTGTTTCATATAGGCAGTATTACTTACATATTTAGACTAGAGACCATCTCTTTTCTGGAGTACGTGAAAGCCGATAATCCATTGCCGATGATTCCAAGAAAACCAATACTAGGAAGGATTAAGCTTATGACGATCTAAATGAGTATTTTAAATGAGCACAGAATCCATTCGGAGCAACAAGCTTCTTGCATTCTAGATAAGTATTCTGAAGGAATTCGGAACTGACAAAATTTCTAAAATACCTCGCTTATGGCAACCAAATAAAACACTTCCTATTAATTTCAATGATGCTAAGATATTTGCAAAACTCTGGACCGCAAGTATCTGCGGTGTGGAACGAACGCGCTATTGTCCTTTCTGGGAGTAACGCGTTCACCACCATACCATGCGGGTCCTTTGTTTCGCCTGTCTCTCAGCTAGTTCTATCGACCTTTTGCCTTCCTATTAACTAATTTAGTTTTTGAGGACCTCAGTAGGTGGTCAAAGATGAAAGTTTTTCGATATTTCCATATGAAGCTAAAAGCAAACCTATTACGTGTGGAATTTGACGGTCTTCCCGCGGATATTTTCCCGTTAATTACGATAAGAAATAGTGTTGCACCAAAGATGTGGTGAACTTCGTGTTCACTGAACAGGGAACATCTATTAAACAGTTCTGTTGTGCGAACGAAACGAATGGTGATCCTAGGTTTCGCTCCCGATTTACTCGATGGTTGATGAGATCACAGATAATTAACATCTGATTTCCCATTGTGCATCTCATTGTAATTTATCTGCTTAAAGAAATTTGAGCAAAATTATTTTTTGGAAAGAGGTATATTTTTCTGGTTTTTCAGTTGTTTCTACAATATCCAGTCCTTCTAGTCAAAGGAGGCATAACAAGCTTTCCTTCATAACTAATTAGCGTTTTTTGCCAGACGACTAAACAGAAGTCCTGAAATTAGTCTCCACGCCCATAATTTAGTTAGTCCGATAGATGTGACTGCTTTCCAAATGCGGACCATAAATTTGTGTTTCGACTTCGACCAAATTCACAGCATTTAAATCACCGGCTAAAGTCAACATTATATCACCGTGACGAAAGATCTTTCATAACGGTAGATTGCATCCGCAGTCTGAAATATTCCAGACTTCTTTTTTTTCTTTCGCCTTTTTCGGTGGTTGTGAGGGTAAAACGGCTATAAAATCACTATTTTAAACCAAACTTCGTGCGTAACTCTCATCTGATAGACACGCAATGACGAGGATAAACTCTAGGAAAAAGGTTTCGGCAAGCCATTATTGTTTGTGCATCTCGGTTCCCTCATTGAACAGATATCTATTGATTCTTTATCACAATGATAACTTTATTTAAAAACGATCTTGCCCAAAGTATTTTCCGAAATGGATAAACTTCTAGCTTGATAATTAAAATGTATTCGGATGTAGCAAGAAAAACTGATGTTATATGCTCATAAAACTTGGTAAATCAAAAGTAAAAACTTACAGAATTGAACTTTTCATATTCTCTGGAAACGAACCGCGCTTCTCCATAATCGTAACACCAGCCGCATATTGACAAACCATAGCATTGGCCACCAGCAATGGTATCATTATTACAGTCAACTGAGGCATTCATCTACAAAGCGTCGACTTTGTTTCGAGGAAAATGGAATATGATTTGGTTGAAACAATATGCTTGACAATAAATGACAATAGACAACAGAATGTTTGATTCAAATGTGTGACTCGATCGTGTAGTAAAAATAGAATTGGAAAATAGCGTTTCAAGTGCTGAGATTCAAAGCCAGTGTTAAGATTGTGTCACCTTAACTCTTGTTCTCAAAATGCATGTATATACATATATATATATATATGCCGACGCCCACACACGTTTGCCTTATACACACAAACATTGTAAAAGATTCGAACTACTATCGTCACTAAATAAGATACCCAGTGAATAATAAAGAGCGCAAAAGAAGAAGAACGGGAACAGCGATTCCATAGCAATAGTTGGTCAAAATTTGAAAGTTGAAAGCTGGTTTTGCCCATTATTTTATTTCATTATACGCTTAAGTGCTCTATAAAATTAAGTGTTCCAAAGATCTCAATCTATGTACTGGAAGTATCAGCAGTGTACTTACTTAAGAAAAAAAGAACTTCCAACTTTCGGCAACTCATTCTATTCTCACCATACTTTTCAGCAACACGATTAAATCGAATTGCCGGTTAATCGTAATCATTTGGCCACCTGTTTGTCATAAAGAAATAGACCTAACAGTGCAAGTTCAAGGCAGTAAAGAACTGGATAGTTCAGCCGTCGTATCACTCTAGAGGTTCGTGAAGGCCCACCAGCAACCATGTCATTTTTAAAGGGATGGGGCAAGAGCGCATTCAAACCAACTAGCAATGTCTAAATTATGCGGTGTCTGTGTTTGAGGGGTGGGCTGTGTACGAAATTGGTGTGCACAAGTTATAACTAAACCGCCTTCATCAGTGACAATGCCCGTTGGTCAAATTTGCCTAGTATCAAAAGCGTTTATGAGTAAGGGAGAATTAAAATAAACTATTTAAGTGGTTCTTTAACATAAGAGAGAGCATATCGTTGGAAGAAAACAATTTCAAATCAGGAACAAATTTCTTTACCTTTCAATTGTAGCATGGTGAAAAGCCGTGAAGTTTGTCCGAGGTGCAGCTTTAGTCAAGTCATCAATGGTTATTTCTAGGCCATTATAGAACAACATAACAGAGTCAAACGTTATGAAGGGTGTAAGAGAAGAAAGGAAAGTAAGTAAAGTAGATTTTTATAACTAGGCTTCTAAACGTGTGTTCCACTTTCGTCTTTGATTTGAAGTGATTTCGACTCTCTCGATTTCATCCGTTTTAAACTTCTAGGTTCGGGAAACACAGAGTATCCAGAGTATCCAGAGTATCCATTACACCAACTTCTATACTCATTGCTTTCATTTAGATTAGACATCTGATCAGTAATACCAGTGTCACTTTGTGAAGTTTTTGTATCGATTGTCCGATGAGCATAAGAGACAGCTCTCTACTTGTTAAGTGTTTAGTTTTCGACTGATCGTCGAACCAAAATAATAAGATAGTAAGGGACGTTTTATGACAGATTTAGTAACAAGTTGCAGAAACAGGTAAATACAATGTAGAGAAAAGCGATGAATAGGAAGGATAGATAGCCAATAACAAACTCAGTTGAGTACTCTTTTCTAGTTGTGTTCACACCGTTATAAATGTGTTAAGGACGAAACAATTGCAATCATTTATTCTCTCAGGTTTAAGAGGACTTAAATTGGAATCGTTCTCATAACAATAACCATATTCTAATCGCTTAGCAAGAAACATGTTCAAGACTATGTTGTTCATTTCAGCTTCGACAGAACAGAAGAAAGTGCAAAAGAACAGGACCCTGATTGGAACTTGTTGGTAACACCTTAAATACAACCTCACGTGTATTACGGCAATGTGGAAAAGTAGTAGTTCGGCAAAAGTATTATTCCCTTGATATTGGTAGTAAACTTATGTTTTCCAAAAAAAGACATGATTCACATTAGAAATACTGCTACATCAGTATTCTGGATCTGTTCAAACACCACCAGAGCGGCTTCAGCAGATTAACTTATAGTCAGCCCTCTCGGCAGCTTGCTGTTCATGACATTCCTGTCAGTATCACTATCTCGAAACTAAGTACTATAATAGAAACCATTGTTATTATTATCGTTACTACTATTGTCTTTGTTATTACTGTTGTTATTATTACTTTTATTATTATTACTATTATTATTATCATTAACCAAGGTAGAAAGTATTGGACAGAAATTTTTCAAGGGATGAAGTTTTTGCAATAAGAGCAGTGGAATCAGATGCATGCACAAGACATCTTAAGAAGACCTCCTCATATCGTTCCCAATATGTAAATGTATAAGTAAATAGGTGAGGAAAATCGGTTTGTTGAGTACTCGATAGCGCGCTCACTAACCAATTTTGCGCCAAATGCACTGAAAATCCCTGACAGCGTGGCTACAGCAGTGGAACCAATTTTCTGCACATGCAACTAAAAATTATGGAATTTGACCATTTATGCAAAAAGAATGTTGTAAAAAGCCGAAGCAATCAATAGCAATAGGAACACTGTAAAGTCATCAGATAGTGGTCTCGCGTCTTTTATTCTTTCAGGCTATATATATATATATATATATATATATATATATATATGTATGTGTGGTATTTTTTTATTTTACGTGACCTAACACCACGCCTACTTTGGGTTCTCTCATTTCTTGTATTCTAATCATTTCCCTCGTATTCACCGTCAACAAAGGCATTCGGACATCATACGTTTTATTCGGGTTACTGTTTGAGGATTTCGCTCTTTACAAATGTCGTAGAATACCAGTCCAGTCGATTCTCTTTGCAATCTTGTAGATAACCGAGCTAGGACGTTCCCAAGTGGATTGAAGGACAGCGTTGTGGAGGGAGTCGAACCAGGACTTGGTTCCTGATAGACTGCATCACTAACCACTCCACTACTTGCCCTCATATATATATATATATATATATATGTACATAATACGCGTGTGGCGCAGTGGTTGGAGGCGCCACTGTGACACACACGTGGAATCGATTCTGGCGCCAATGGCCCACCAAGCCTTCTATCCCTCCGGGATCGGCAAATTGGTACCACACTTGTCTGGGAGGATAGCAGCACTGGCTCAATACATCGGTAGGCCATCACGACTCATTGTAAGGGTCAGATATGCAATCAGTCACCTCCAACGATACTTATTGAAGTCGAATGCATGGCGCATCCCTTAGGAATTGGTCAACGCCGAGAGCTTTATCCCTTTTTATATATGCTCATATATACACATGTTAAGCATCACTTTAACTTTTGCTCTTTCGAGTTTAAGTTCATTGAGATGTGAATAACTTCTTCTTATGTTTGAAAGTAAGTCATGGAAACTGTCAAGATCAATGACCCAGCTAAAGGCATCATTTTGTGATGCAAGGGCGGAATTCCAGTTATTGAACCACTTAACTGCTTCAGTTGCAATGAAAAAAGAATCTGCAATCTTTCGTAAGCTCTAGAAGAGCAGTATTTCATTTTAATGGTATACCCGATTTTTGTCTTATTCGCGACGGTGTTTATATTCAAATGGCTTTAATTTAAAAGGAATAAAGTATGTTGTGAGCTGAGACAAATGGAACCAAGGTTATCATCCATGGAATATGGCCAAAATGGATAATATGACCTTAGCAAGTATGCGAATTTTTAAATTTCTAATTTGTATTTTTAAGAAATTTCAAAATGCTTTAAGGCAACCACTTACTCCGATTTTGTGCCTCTAATTACGATTATTTCTTTTGTTTATCAGGCACAGAGCTACGAGCTTGTAGTATAGTTCTGTACCCATATTAGCTTTGTTGCTTAAAATGGAATCCTCCTCCAAGTGGTTGGTTTGATGTTTCTATGTTTTGATTCAGCTTTTCAAGTCTGTGCAAAACTTAAAGCAAGGTTGACATTTTCGTTCGAAAATATTAAAGGAGTAAGTCTATGTAATCACATGACTACGATTTCTCCATGTCTACCCTATTGATATCGTATGAAATATGTTTTTGTTGTGAGTGTTCTCCACTGACAACAATAGCGGTGGAATGAAGAAATATATCAAAGTGGGAGATTTTTGAGAAGATGTGCTTAGGCGGTCCAACAATTCAATTAGAGTGTTATTGAAGATAAAAGAACTGACAAAACAAATAAAGCCGCATCACGCACTAAATTAGGTTGATCGGTTGCAATATTGCATGCCCAGCTCCACAGAACTCATAACGTTCAGATTTTTAAGGTTGCAAAGCAAAAGAAAAATCAAGTGAGTTGATCGTTCTATCTTTTTGGATACTTAGGAAAAATGTGGTGACTTAGAAATCATAGTTTTCTTTTGCGTTATTTGTTTAATGGAGTATTCAGTAGTGCACTTAAAGGGAAGACAATTGTCTTAATAGAAGTTTGTATGATATCAAACAGGCGTAAATGTTAGATTTTGAAGAATTGCATATTAAGTTCGGTTTCTTGCCTTGTGCTTTCTTATCTTGTTTTGTTGAGTGAGCCTAATTTTTCACCTCAAACGGATCTTTCCTTTTGTAGTGACCTTTCCTTTTGCTCAGCTGTCCAATGGCAACAGCTAGAATGACTACAAGGCTTGCTCCTACGTGCAAATTCGATGATACCTTTGTCCATACTGAATGGTTTTCTGTCGTCAAGTAACATCTGGGCTTAACTAGCAACCAGAACGTGACTGGTGAGTACTGCTGCTCTCAATCTGGATACCGTTATTGGGACAAATGTGGATTACGCCGTCAAGTGCAAAAGCAGATAACAACTTGAAAATTTCATGATTTGTACTTGACTGAGATCAGTTCACTTCTAATCCACGCAATAAGTTTTAGCACAACCATCTTAGCGTTGATATCAGCCGAAGCCACACGAGAGTTCGAAGACTTTCTTAATTTTTGACGCGGTAGAACGAATCGAAAGGAAGAACTGCTGGGATTCGCAAACTATGGTACACGTGTCATTGCATTATGTTATAATAATAAATAAATAGTTTCCAGGATCGA